TGCTTTATGGAAATGCCCCACTGCTCCCGTTAGCGGCATCTTGACCGGCCGACTCTCTGTGGACAAGGCAACTTTTTGTCTGCCATACGATCGCTGCAGGTGCCGTGTCAACTCGCAGAAAGCGCGAGCCACGAACTGTACAAACACTATAGAGTCTTCTATACGCACCTATCAAGACCCCAGCGAGCGTAGAGGTTCCAGGGAACATTGAGAAATCTTCAAATAGTTCAGAGCCTTATGGTCTGATTGCCTGTGGAATGCGTCGCACCGCATCCCGGCCCCAACCAGGAGGTTACAAACAGTTTGGGACTTACGAAACTCCTTGTCAGGGCCAGCACCGAATTCTAACAGCGGAGTTGCAGGTGTCTATAGGCACAGGGACTGTAGGGATTGCAGGGGCTGCTTCAAATAGGCATATATTGCAAGCCCCGCCAGGTCAGAGGGTAGGTGCGTTCGTGTGCTTTGAGCTTGTATAACTCCCACGGCCATGTTCAAAAGTCCTGCGCCTCAGCGATATATATAGAAGTATACATCCTGGGCCTGCAGCAAGCACATGCATCGCGCGAACTGCGCGGCGCACTGCCACCGGCCGCAAGCACCCCAAAACCGGCAGATCCCTCAGCTGCGCTTCTCAAAGGCTGCGAGTCGCGCCTCCATGTCCTTCAAATCAGGATCTGCCTTCATGTCCTTGTTGGTGTAGCCGAACTCGTTTCGCAACTTTGCCTTATAAACCTCAATGTCACCTTGCAGCTGAACGTAGTCCTTCTGCTCTTCCGCACTGAGGGGCGTCTTCTTCTTCGAATCTTTCTTGCCGTCCTTCTCCTTCTTGGAACTGCCGGGGTCCTGCTTCTCCTTGAGCTCGTTCAATCTGTTCACCAACGCCACGATCTTCTCGTTCTTGTTGATCTGTCCTCCGCTCAGGCCCTCTTCCTTGAGGATGGCCTTCTCCTCGATGATCTTCTGCTTCAGGTCCTCTCTTGTTCCCAGACTCCAGATTCTACAAAAAAAAACATGTTACGAAAGCTGAAGGCTACGGACTAAAATGTATTTCTGAAGGCGTAATACACAGGCATACTCTCCGAAAGCGAGGTCCTCCAGTTCCTTCAGCTCATCGTGGCTGAGGCCTGCGCTTTCGGCCTTCTTCTCCTTCTTTTGCTCCTTCTTCGGCTTTGTCTCCACCGCCTCCTGCACAGAATCACCACTCAACCCGATCAAAACTACCTGTCTGTTCGATGTGTTTCGCAGACTGGGGGTTTTGATGCTTTTGTTTGGGGGAGTGGGCTCTGACTGTGGGCTTCGGGTTTAGGGTTTAGAATCTAGCATAGGGTTTCGTGTTAAGGTTTCGGGATTAGGTTAAGGGCCGATGGTCACGGGTTTATGGTCAAACCTGAGATCGCTTCTTGGAAACCGTAGCACCCCGCAACTTGCAAGGGGTTGAGAGGATTTTAAGAGGACCCTATATATAACCTTTGACCTTAAACCCTGAACCCTCTACCCCAAACCCCTCCACCCTCAACCCTCAGCCCCCCCCCACCTCTCTCTCTCTCTCTCTTTGGGGCATGAGGGGCAAGCCTCTCTCTCTCTCTCTTTCTCAGACCTAAACCCCTCAACCCTCAACCTCATAAACCCTAAGACCCTCAACGGTTCAGAGTATGGCTGCGTTGCTTCGGAGACGGCTCCTGCACGGGCTCTTCGGTGTCCATCTCGGGCCGCACGGCTTCCTTCGTGACGAAGTGCCCAAACTTCGGCTCAAGTCCCTTCGCGACCTTGCAGGCGTCGACGTACTTGTGCTCGTTCTTCAGGTCGGCCACCTCTTTGCCCTTGGCGGAGCGCTCCTTCTTGTTGTCCTTGCCGGTCAGCTGCGTCGCCTCCATCTCCAACTTCGCGATCTTGGTCTCGATCTCCGCCCTATAGGCCTCCGCGGCGGCGACGTCGTACTCCGCGCCGGACGCTTCCTTATAGGCGTTCAAGCTGATGAAGGTTTACTCGTGGCATGGCACTTGTATGCTGTGGTGTGGTACACTGATTTTACATGTCACGCGCAAGTTAAAAAAAAGTAGACGAAAAGGCTTCCCAAATTGGACCCCAGAGTTCGGTGGCTTTCAGCAGCTTCATGCCCTGCTCCGCCTGCAGCTCCAAAGCTCCACCCTGGGTTGTATGGACGGCTGCCATGGCAACAAGGGACGCTTTGGGGCGAGGTTGACGAGGCGTCTCTCTTTTGAAACTCCGCTGGCTTGCCCAACCACCAGAGTTGAGGAGCGTCAGTTCACGAAGCGTGCAACGTTCAAAAGTTGTACGGAAAAAAACACTTGCAAATTGCCCACCTTCGGGATGTGGGAAGGAAAGTGAAGTGGTGCTTTATAGAAATGCCCCACTGCTCCCGTTAGCGGCATCTTGACCGGCCGAATCTCTGTGGACAAGGCAACTTTTTGTCTGCCATATGATCGCTGCAGGTGTCGTGACAACTCGCGGAAAGCGCGAGCCACAAACTGTACAAACACTATAGAGATAAAATGGTTGCAGAGGAGACCTGCACGTTCTCGCCTGTCCGATCTCACCGCACTGAAGCCGAGTCGGCCGTAACCTGCTTCATGTGCTTCTATATGCACCTATCAAGACCCCCCGCGAGCGTAGAGGTTCCAGGGAACTTTGATAAATCTTCAAATAGTTCAGAGCCTTATGGTCTGAATGCGTGTGGAATGCGTCGCACCGCATCCCGGCCCCAACAAGAGGTTACAAACAGTTTGGGACTTACGAAACTCCTTGTCAGGGCCAGCACCGAATTGGAAACAGCGGAGTTGCAGGTGTCTATAGGCACAGGGACTGTAGGGATTGCAGGGGCTGCTTCAAATAGGCATATATTGCAAGCCCCGACGGGTAAGATGGTTGGTGCGTTCGTGTGCTTTGAGCTTGTATAACTCCCACGGCCATGTTCAAAAGTCCTGCGCCTCAGCGATATACGTAGAAGTATACATCCTGGGCCTGCAGCCAGCACATGCATCGCGCGAACTGCGCGGCGCACTGCCACCGGCCGCAAGCACCCCAAAACCTGCAGATCCCTCAGCTGCGCTTCTCAAAGGCTGCGAGTCGCGCCTCCATGTCCTTCAAATCAGGATCTGCCTTCATGTCCTTGTTGGTGTAGCCGAACTCGTTTCGCAACTTTGCCTTATAAACCTCAATGTCACCTTGCAGCTGAACGTAGTCCTTCTGCTCTTCCGCACTGAGGGGGGTCTTCTTCTTCGAATCTTTCTTGCCGTCCTTCTCCTTCTTGGAACTGCCGGGGTCCTGCTTCTCCTTGAGCTCGTTCAATCTGTTCACCAACGCCACGATCTTCTCGTTCTTGTTGATCTGTCCTCCGCTCAGGCCCTCTTCCTTGAGGATGGCCTTCTCCTCGATGATCTTCTGCTTCAGGTCCTCTCTTGTTCCCAGACTCCAGATTCTACAAAAAAAAACATGTTACGAAAGCTGAAGGCTACGGACTAAAATGTATTTCTGAAGGCGTAATACACAGGCATACTCTCCGAAAGCGAGGTCCTCCAGTTCCTTCAGCTCATCGTGGCTGAGGCCTGCGCTTTCGGCCTTCTTCTCCTTCTTTTGCTCCTTCTTCGGCTTTGTCTCCACCGCCTCCTGCACAGAATCACCACTCAACCCGATCAAAACTACCTGTCTGTTCGATGTGTTTCGCAGACTGGGGGTTTTGATGCTTTTGTTTGGGGGAGTGGGCTCTGACTGTGGGCTTCGGGTTTAGGGTTTAGAATCTAGCATAGGGTTTCGTGTTAAGGTTTCGGGATTAGGTTAAGGGCCGATGGTCACGGGTTTATGGTCAAACCTGAGATCGCTTCTTGGAAACCGTAGCACCCCGCAACTTGCAAGGGGTTGAGAGGATTTTAAGAGGACCCTATATATAACCTTTGACCTTAAACCCTGAACCCTCTACCCCAAACCCCTCCACCCTCAACCCTCAGCCCCCCCCCACCTCTCTCTCTCTCTCTCTTTGGGGCATGAGGGGCAAGCCTCTCTCTCTCTCTCTTTCTCAGACCTAAACCCCTCAACCCTCAACCTCATAAACCCTAAGACCCTCAACGGTTCAGAGTATGGCTGCGTTGCTTCGGAGACGGCTCCTGCACGGGCTCTTCGGTGTCCATCTCGGGCCGCACGGCTTCCTTCGTGACGAAGTGCCCAAACTTCGGCTCAAGTCCCTTCGCGACCTTGCAGGCGTCGACGTACTTGTGCTCGTTCTTCAGGTCGGCCACCTCTTTGCCCTTGGCGGAGCGCTCCTTCTTGTTGTCCTTGCCGGTCAGCTGCGTCGCCTCCATCTCCAACTTCGCGATCTTGGTCTCGATCTCCGCCCTATAGGCCTCCGCGGCGGCGACGTCGTACTCCGCGCCGGACGCTTCCTTATAGGCGTTCAAGCTGATGAAGGTTTACTCGTGGCATGGCACTTGTATGCTGTGGTGTGGTACACTGATTTTACATGTCACGCGCAAGTTAAAAAAAGTAGACGAAAAGGCTTCCCAAATTGGACCCCAGAGTTCGGTGGCTTTCAGCAGCTTCATGCCCTGCTCCGCCTGCAGCTCCAAAGCTCCACCCCGGGTCCTATCGACGGCTGCCATGGCAACAAGGGACGCTTTGGGGCGAGGTTGAGGAGGCGTCTCTCTTTTGAAACTCCGCTGGCTTGGGCGGCAGCCGGGGCCGGATCAATTCAGAAAAAAAGCTGGCAGGAAAAGCAGCGTGAGGCTTCGGATGTGCACTGCACTGCAGGCTTCTTGTGTCTGGGCCCCGCTATGCTACTCTACAGCACCCGAAGCCTGAATCCGCCAATGAAGCCTCAAAGGGTTCGGATTTAATCTGCTAGGTTGCCCAGCAACCACGGATGAAAAAGTGTGCTTTTGTTTTGCTTAAAGGGGTTTTATAAGGCAACCCTGAACCCTAAACCCTAAACCCTAAAACGCGGGTACTACTAGTTTGTCCGAACTTGGCCAACACCAGCAGCGCAGTGCCTGGAATCTGAGGTGCTTTGCGTCCTGGGCAAGCGGTCGTAGAGCTAAGTTGTTTAGGGTTTAGGGTTCTAGGGTTTAGGGTCTACCAGAAACTCAAAACCATTAGTGCCGTTAGCTAGCAGCCTGCTCATGCTCTGATGATGTTTTCCCCTTCGGCCCTATGGGCACGGCAGAAGGCTGGGTACACGGAATCTGCAGCTGTTCACAAGAATCTGAAAACTTCGCAGAGTGCTCTCACTATCTGCCAGCCGATTAGACCAACTATCACAATCTAGACTAAGTGGAAAAAATTCGCAATCCGACTAAACCCTAAACCCTAAACCCTAAACCCTAGACCATAGAAACCCACCAAGAGCCCCTGCTTGCACGAACTCTGATTACAGCGTTCACGCCCACAAGCGAGAGATGTACCTTGCATCCCTAACCCTCAAACACTCATGACGATCCCTATAAAGTAAACCTAGCCCTAAACCCTAAACCCTAAACCCTAAACCCTAAACCCTAAACCCTAAACCCCAAGGCCTATAAGCCCTTAGAGCCCAGCAGCCAGAAGCTCGGCTGATGCAGATGCCATGAGGCAGCCCTCAGGAGCCTCCTCACAAGGCTTTGGGGCGTCTGAGCTTCGAGCTCCTTGGGTTTAGGGTTTAGGGTTTAGGGTTCATAAGGTCTAAAGCTTAGGGTTTAGCGTTAGCCTGCCTGGGGTTTCAGCGTCTACCTTGTTTGCAGCGGGCCAAAGCCTGGCACCCACAGCCTCAAACCCTAGACGCATGTTTTCTGCTACGTCCTGCCTGCCAACAGAACAGAAACAGTACCCCTTACAAAGAGACTGGGATGTTCCCCCTTATGCTCACAGTCCTTAGTAGGGATAATTAAAATCGCAATTAAGGACTGTTGGTATCAGGGGGACAATCCCAACAAAGAGATTATACTATATATATATATATATATGGTCACCCCCCCCCCCCCTCGACAGACCCCGGAATTGTATTTCCGATCTGTCCAGGAAGCGGGGGGGGGGGAAGAGCACCACTCCAAAATTCCTCGAGTTTCCAAAAATCCAAAAATCCAAAAATCCCAACCCAAGTTTCGGATTTTTGGAAACTCGAGGAATTTGCTCAAAATCCAAAAAAAACCCAAAATTCCTCGAGTTTCCAAAATCCAAAAATCCAAAAATCCCAACCCAAGTTTCGGATTTTTGGAAACTCGAGGAATTTGCTCAAAATCCAAAAAAAACCCAAAATTCCTCGAGTTTCCAAAAATCCAAAAATCCAAAAATCCCAACCCCAGTTTCGGATTTTTGGAAACTCGAGGAATTTGCTCAAAATCCAAAAAAAACCCAAAATTCATCGAGTTTCCAAAATTCCAAAAATCCAAAAATCCCAACCCCAGTTTCGGATTTTTGGAAACTCGAGGAATTTGCTCAAAATCCAAAAAAACCCAAAATTCCTCGAGTTTCCAAAAATCCAAAAATCCAAAAATCCCAACCCCAGTTTCGGATTTTTGGAAACTCGAGGAATTTGCTCAAAATCCAAAAAAATCCAAAATTCCTCGAGTTTCCAAAAATCCGAAACTGGGGTTGGGATTTTTGGATTTTTGGAATTTTGGAAACTCGAGGAACTTTGGGTTTTTTTTGGATTTTGAGCAAATTCCTCGAGTTTCCAAAAATCCGAAACTGGGGTTGGGATTTTTGGATTTTTGGAATTTTGGAAACTCGAGGAATTTTGGGTTTTTTTGGATTTCGAGGCTCCCGCTCGAGTTTCTAAAAATCCAAACCTTGGGGGTGGAGTTTTTGGATTTTGGGAATTTTGGAAACTCGAGGAATTTTGGTTTTTTTTGGATTTTGAGCAAATTCCTCGAGTTTCCAAAAATCCGAAACTGGGGTTGGGATTTTTGGAATTTTTGAAACTCGAGGAATTTTGGGTTTTTTTTGGATTTTGAGCAAATTCCTCGAGTTTCCAAAAATCCGAAACTTGGGTTGGGATTTTTGGATTTTTGGATTTTTGGAAACTCAGGTTTTGGTGAGATTCTTTTAGGGGTTCTACACTCATGAGAAATATGAAATTGGAAACTCGTGCGGGAGCCTCAAAATCAAAAAATCGAGCAAATTCCTCGAGTTTCCAAAATTCTAAACCTTGGGGTGGGTTTTTTTTGGATTTTTGGAATTTTGGAAACTCGAGGAGTTTGCTCGATTTTTGGATTTTGAGGCTCCCGCTCGAGTTTCCAAAAATCCAAACCTTTGGGGTGGATGTTTGGATGTTTGGATTTTTGGATTTTTAGAAACTGGATTTTTGATAAGAGTTTTTCAGGGGTTCTTATATGATTCCTTATTATGTTTTCGGCTGCCTATTAAATTTAATAATACTCCTGTTCACTTTAACGGGAGTCCTTATTTAATTAACAAGGCTCCTAATCATTTTACTAGCATTCTAAGTGATTTTCAATGGCAATGGGATTCCTGTATTTGTTTAATGGGGTTCGTACTAGATTTTAAAGGATGCCTGTTAAAGGACTTTATTGGGTTTAATATTGATTCCTATTCATTTTAATCAAATGCCAAATAATTGGAATACGATTCTGAGTAATTGTAATAACATTCTTCTTCCTAGTTAGTTTTAATAAAAGTCTTAGAAATTTAAAAAGCTTCATAACAAATTTTATACATATTCCTATTAATTTCAATAGGCTTCTTATTCATTTTCATAAGATGTCTTACAATTTCTAATTGGGTTCCTTTTGCTTTGACAAGCTTCCTATTCATTTAAAAAGGCTTCTGATTAATTGGAATAGGCTTCGTATTCATTTTAACAGGGTTTCTCATTCATGTTGACAGGATTCCTAATAATGTTCATAGGATTCCTACTAGATTCCACAGTGCTCCGATTATGTTTTTAAATCCTGTTCCCTATTCATTTCAATTGGACTCGAAGTAATGTTATTGTAACTCTCATTTGTTTTTTTAGCAATCCTTTTATTTAAATGTTTTAATAGTGTTTATTATAATTCTAACAGTACGACTCTTAGTGTTTTAAGTTTTGAAGGGTCCACATTACTTTTTTTATAGAATTTTATTGGCTCCTCTTAATCCTTTAATAGGATTCATCTTCATTTTACACGGATTCCTGTTACTCTTAAAAGGAATTCATAGATTCTTTTGTAGGGTTCCTATTAATTTTAATAGCATTCCTATGAATTCAAAAGGGTTCCTATTCATTTGAATGGCCTTCCTATGGTTCCTCTGAATTTAGGACGCCAAGAAATTTTAATAGGAGCTTCTACGTGTTTCAACCAGGTTCTTATTAATTGTACTAGGATTCTCACTAAGTTTTCAAAAAAGACTCGTCTTAATTTCAATAGGGTTCTCATTCATTTTAATGGGTTCCTATTGATTTAAATAGGATTCCTATTGAACTCATGCGAAGCCTATGAATCCTAATAAACTTAATAGGAACCCAAGTAAAACTAAGAGCAATCTTATTAAAATTAATAGCAATCCACGATGTCGAGCAAATTGTTCAGGTCCTTACAGCATGCGTCCTTCTCACATCTGTCTGCATCTTTCATTGAAAAAATATGCTCTATTGTGTGTTAACGTGTCTGGCTACTGTGTGCAGCTATGCTGTCCGTCGCGCCCTCAGCCCTTTTTTCGCTTCCGGGGTCTGTCGAGGGGGGGGGGGGGGGGTGAGCATATATATATATATATATACTGCATATAACGTTGGCACTCCTGCGGTGGAAGCTAGGGGAGTCGGAATGATGGGGTTCAGGAACTCTCTTGCCAGCATGGGCTATGAGGCCTTATAATCCCCTAACCAGCCCTATAAAGGGCCCTTTGAAGGGGTTATAGGGCAGGGTTGGAGGCTTTAGAGTTTGCGCAGCAGACTCCTCCAACCAAATGCTTTGCCACGGGCCTGAGCCATGGTGTGAAAATCATCAGCCCTTGTCTACTGGGAGTCCCCCGCCTAAACCCTAAACCCTAGACCCATAAACCCTTGGACCCTAAACCTGCAAGAAAAAGGAACCTCTATTTTGAGGCCTCCTTCTGCATCAGGGCTATGATGTCCTGGCAAACCCAAAGCCTCAAAGCCTTTTGCACCCTAAACCCTCCTCAACCATGACTCATTAAACCCAAAACTTCGACCCTGAGCCCTAAGCTCAAACCCCCTAGGGGGGATTAAGGGCGCGAGGGTCGAAGTCGGCGAGGAAGCCACGGGACCCTTGTGCTCACGGGCTCTGGGGCGCTGTACGGGCCTGGCCCTGCGAGTACGGACCGTGCTTGCGCGTCTTAAGAGCCTTACAATTACAGGCCGTATACCAGCCTGAGCAGGATCTATACACTCCCTGCGGCACCGTCGAATCGACTTTGGTCTGAGTTTTGAAAAACGATCTTGCCTGCAGGACCTACGGCGGTGGGAGCGCGGCGGCAGGCGCTGAGTTGCGGAGGGTTTAGGAAGGGTTTACAAGGAAGCATTGCTTCGTATAGCGTGTGGTCCAGCAGTGTGTTGTTTTATTTTGCCACGAGCTCAATCCATTCCACTCCGTAAACCTCGGCTCGCTTCATTTCTTCGACTTGTGGGTTGCTGACGCACTGTTCACCGCCTACGCGACAGGGCTAGTCCAAACTGCAATCGCTTCTGGCAGTCTGCCAGATAAAGGAAATTTTAACCCCTAAACCCTAAACCCTAAACCCTAAAGGTTCTTTCATGCTCTGTATCCTTAATCTCGAGGAAAAACGGGCACGAGCCTGCTTTTTGTCAGGCTCCTGGCCCTGCTGAAGGAAGGCACGGTGTGGCATTTGTCTCGACTCGAGGGTTTAGGGTTTAGGGTTTAGGGTTTAGGGTTTAGGGTTTAGGGTTTACGCAGAGAGCGGCGGAGGCAGGTCACCAGCGAAAGCTCTTTGCAGCAGTCACAATGGGCACTCAGGGTGTACCTGTATCGGCCCATGAGCATTCAAGAGCATCAGAAGACTTTGTACAGGGGTCTTCTAGGGCTTAGGGTTCCCAACTCAAGTCCGCCCCTACCTAACTTAAACCCGCACCTCGAGAGGGGGGCGGGGGGGAGGGGTGAGGTCCCGGAAAAAACCAGGCCCACCCCCAAAAAAATTAAACTGGTGGACTTATGAGTTTAAGGGATATCTAGTGGTATTCTCTACAGACCCAGGCATTCACACCCATACAAGGCACGCACAAACACCACGCACGCCAGCAAGCAAACCAAAATTATTGTGCCTGGGTGGACCGGGAGCCCCCAGGCCCAGGGGTCCCTTGGGCACCCCCTCGTCTTCAAAAACCATATACTGGAAACTATGGGGGGTTAGGGCACTCTTCTGGCTGCATACATGGGAAATTTCTAGGTAAACGACAAGTAAAACAGGTTTTGCATCTATGAGAATGACATCTGCCCCTCCCTCCCCCACTTCTCCCCCTGCCTCCCCTAGACCGTCTTCCAAAAATCCTAAACCCTCAGCCTTGCAGTCAGGCCCTAAACGTCGAAACTTCATGTGTAATTATAAGCAGGGCGATAGCGCAAGTGATATCAACAAAAACCATACTATAATAAGCAAGTAAAAACAGAGTTGGTGCCCTGCCACCCATGGTGTGAAGGTTTCGGGCTAAGATTCCCACCCGATGCTGCGGAGTACATGATGAAGCCCGGCTGGAGGGATTGCTTCCCACGCGGCTGCCAGCCTGAGCGTGCAAAAGGCCTCCACACTACAGCTCGGTACCCTTGAACATGCACAAGCTCTGCTCAATCAAGGGGTGCTTGGAAGCCAGAGCATCGAATCTAGAATATTCCTAAACCCGAAGCCCGAAACCCTAAACCCTAAACCCCTGAACCCTGAACCCGAATCTAGAACTTCACCCAAACAGGGCTCCTGTCTGACAGCACTGATCGCACCGGGGTGGTTGATCATCATCCACGGCGTACTCGCAGCCGCTGTCGGTGGGATCCCACACACGGATCACAAGCTGCACAGCATCCTAACAAGGCCCCATGCATAGTTTGAAGACTTTGAATCAGTAGAGAGGCGCCGTAGCCAGCAGAATGAAATTGAACCCTAAACCCTAAAAGCTGCTTCATGCAAGGACAAACCCTTAACCCTAAACCCTGGCCCTAAACCCTAAACCGACATGTTCCGGTACATCTGTACATCTGTCCTTGTGGCTGGCAGCCGCCAACTCGAAAGTGAATGGGTCATAGCCGCCTGAACGGGTTCAGGATTCCAGGCTAGCTAGGTTGTGAGGGAGTGTGCCGGGTTCTTTAACGTTAGAAAACACTTTTAGGCTTTTAGGGTATATTTTAACGTTAAAACACCCTAAGTGTGCTGGGGCTCTGGCCATTTGGGGTTTTCCGTGGGTTTGATGTTGAGGGGGTGGTGTTCCGTGGGCTTGGCTGAACCTCCAGGACGCCAAACTCCTTCAAAACCACAAAAAGCATACGTAAACCCTGCAAGGCTGGCCAGACCATAGATTTTGTGTTTCGTTTAAACGTTGTTTATTTTATTGTTTTTGTTTGCGGTTTTTTTAATGGTCGTTTGCAAGTCTACGTAAAGGCCATTCCATGAGTCATTGCGTGAGTTCTTACGCAGAATCCGGTTGTGGCACCACCAGCATTAATTGGAACGACTCCTCTGCCATAAACACACATGTTTGGGAATTACGCGCGTTTCCGCAATTACAGGCATTACGGGCGTTCTCTAAAAGACCTGCTTTTTCAAACAACTTGTCAGTTTTTTTTTTTTTTTTTTTTTCTGGGGGGGGGGGGGGGTGCAGGTACACATAACTTCGCTTTTCCCTCTCTCTCTCTATATAGATATATATATATATATACAAATAATATATATATATATATATATATATATATGATTCCATATGTCTGTACATATACATATATATATATATTTATTTATATACCCAAACCCTAAGCACTCTGGGGGCTTCCGTTTGGGTCGCTGAGACCTCGATGAGTGCCCAGCAGCTGTCCATCCACGAAGATGGCGCACTCCCAGTCGCACCTTGTAAGGTTTAGGGTTTAGGGTTTAGGGTTTAGGGTTTAGGGTTTAGGGTTTAGGGTTTAGGGTCTTGAGTTAGGGGGCTTGAGAGGTTTGGGGTCTATAGGGTTTAGGGGGATGAGATCGCTCATTCTTCAGCAACTCGACAACTCTGCAACCCTTCTTCCCTCCTTGGCGCCACTGTCTGTGGCTTAGGGCTGTCAGCTTCGCGGGCTTGTCTTCACTAAACAACCCTAAACCAATAATCCTAAACCTAAACCCTTAAACCCCTAAACCCTAAAACCCTAAACACAAAACCCCACCCCTAAACTCAAGAAAGCCCGAGCTCCGTGGAGGAGTCTGAGGCCTCCGGGAAGCAACCTTCCATAAGATGCAGCATATAGCCTACACCCTAAACCCCAGACTAGTGGGCGATCGCCACGGTCACGAATCACATGATGTATGCACGCACAAACAAAGTCACATAAGCCTGGATCGTTCGGCACCTTCCGGAAGACTTCGCACTGATTCTCGTAGGTCGCACAACACCGTCTTCAATCCGCCTACCTTCCTCTTCGTTAGCTGCCCGCCCGGCGAACTTTGCCAACCGGACCCTGCGATGGCTCCCGGTGAGTCGAGGGATCGTCGAGCACATCACAGGTCCGAACTGCGTGCTTTGTTTCATCGTCCCTTCTTCGACCTGTAGAAAAAGCTTCTCAAGCTGTGTTGGCACACATTGGCAGGCAGCAAAGCCTTCGGGAGCCTTCGGGAAGTGCTGTCGAGCCGTCTTCGTCGCCCATGAGCAGTGACATGGCTGTCATAAGCAACCACTCCATGTGTGCTGGAACCTGGGATGTTCTAACCCATCTCACAGCACAGCTGAGACGTGAAAGGAGGTTTTCTGTGCCGCCCACTTTCACTGCGAGCGCGAGAAAGCTAGTTGGGGAATTCACCTGAGGGTCTCGTAGCCAAAGCCTAGGGCCGTGGCAATCATAATCCCTGTAAGCCCCAAACCCTAGTCTACTATTTGCTTAAGAACCCCGAAACTCGGAAAACACAAACATAATCCCCTTATTACCCTTATAGGGAAGAATATATCAGTAGTAATCCCCCAAAGTGAAGCTGTGGCGCGCATCCACATGAAGCAAGACCTGAGCTAAGAGGTGATTCGGCTACAAGCCGGTCAGACTTTCATGGATTCAAGGTTTGGGGCTTGAGATTTCAGACAGTTACTACGCCGTCAAGCTTAGCAGGCGGAAATACAGAGCCCTAAGACCTGTCCATCCTTCAACCCGAAACCCTTTTGCATCCAGACCTGTTCGAACTGCGCAAGAACTCCAACCCGAAACCCTCAAACCCCGTAAGCCCCTAAGCCCTCGGAGTTTGGGGTTTAGGGTTTAGGGTCAGTCAATGGTAAGCCTCAATAGGATTTAGGATCTATAAGCCTCAGGCTCGGTGGTAGGGCTTCAGGGCTTAGAAGGCTTAAGGTTTAGGGTTTAGGGTTGAGGGTACACGTACACCCAACAATGGGCCTAACAAGGGGAAATGATTCCCACTTGAACCCTAAACCCTAAACCCTAAACCCTAAACCCTAAACCCCATTGCGTATGAGAGCTGCTCTCCCCCAGCCCGATGGCAGCTGCACCTCTCGCCGAAGCCACAGCCTGAGCATATTTGGGGATTCTTGAGTTACGGGTTGGGGGGTTTAGGGGTTTAGGGGTTTAGGGTTTAGGGTTTTGGGTTTTGGGTGTTGGGGTTTCGGAAGCCCTGCCCCCACAAAACGATAGCCGCCTTTCCACATCCCTGAGCGAACCCATACTTTTCTTGCCAGTTGTTGTACCACACCCTAAACCCTTTTGCAACTGAACCCTAAACCCTAAACTCTTTTATCTTCCGGGCTGTTGCAAGCCTGCAGACCGCAACCCCTCACCTGGAACCCCAACTTGGGATGCCCGAAGTACCGCAATAAAGGTACACTGGGGCCCTTCTTCATCCCTAAACCCTACACCCCTAAACCCTATCACCTTCTTCAGCTCTCCAAAAAGTACCCTGAACTCCCAGCCTGAAACCCGAACTAAACCCTGAACCCCAATGTTGCACCCTGTTTAGTGGGTCCCCGCCCGACCCCCGAGACAGTCGAAGCTGGTTTTCGCCCTGTTTATGCTGTCCACGTGTTTTATATGCTTTCAATAGGGAGGAAGAGGGAGGAGTATAGATAAGTTTCGAACGACGATGCCCGGCAATTGAGTTTTAGGGTGCGCGCGCACGCGTGAAATTTTCTTGCGACGCCCGGAAGATTTGCCTTAATTGCGGACTCCACTCCGCACCCCAAACAATCGGTGTGTCCTGAATAGCCCAGCCAGTCTGACTTTATTCATGGGGCTCCTACTTTCTAAACCGAGTGCAACATTAAAACCCAAAACCCAAAACCCAAAACCCAAACCCTGAACCTAAACCCTAAACCCTAAACCCTAAACCCTAAACCCTTTTTTAACTAAACCCTAAACCCTAGACTCTAAACCCTACCTCAAGGCCCTGCAAGCTGAATGCTATGGGTCCAGCTGGGGAGCAGCTCATGCTCGGAGATCCGGCGCTGCAGCCCACCCCTGTGCGACTCGACAGGAAAGGGAACCTGCAAATGGAAGACAGGTTTAGGGTTTAGGGTTTAGGGTTTAGGGTTTAGGGTTTAGGGTTTAGGGTTTCAGGTTTAGAGTTTAGGGTTTGGGGGTTTTTCTGCCTGAAAGCCGCACCGCAGGGACAATTTCTGAGGGCGGCTTGATGCTTATGCCGAAGGATGCACCTCAAGGGGCATAGGGCTTAGCCCTCGGCACTCTTTGAGGTTTGCGTCTTTGGGGTTTGGGGCTTAGGGGTGGGATCTGACATCAGGATCACCCTCTAGCTGAATGGGCCTTCAAGATGATGGAGGTCTGGTATCAGTCTCTGTTGCTTTCGAGGGCTGCCTTGTGTGAAAAGAGCCTAGGTCAAAAACCCTAAACCTCAAAACCCTTCCATAGGGACTCACAGCTGACTCACGGGGAGCCTTTCTCTACTGCATGCGACGTGCTCAACTCCCTGGAACATGAGCCTTATCGAGTCAATGCATGTTAAAGCCTAGATAGGCTTAGACGGTAAACAGTGATTTCTTAATACAGTACAATAAGAATAGTGATATTGGTAACATTCATAATACTACTAGAAATCATAATAGCAAAACGAAAATGTAGAGCTAATGGTAAATTAGCTGAAGCGAAGTTCCTCAACAGCAACCCAACAAGCTAGGCTCGGCCTCGACCACTCCGTCTTGAAAGTCCACCGGCAGTGTCTCCTGCAGCCCACAGACCGAACACTTGCAGAGGGTTTAGGGTTTAGGGTTTAGGGTTTTTTGGGCCGAAAGGCCTAGATAAACTGTCCGTAGTATCCTCGAGGGTCAGGGGTTGGAGGTTGTAGGTTGTATGGGTCCTTGGTTTGAACCCTAAACCCAAAAGACCTAAACCCTAAACCCTAAACCCTAAACCCTAAACCCTAAACCCCGAAATAAACCATAAAACCCCAAACCCCCAAAAGAACTTCGAGTCGGTGGTGGCTTCATCGCCCGAGGTTTCCTAAGCCACCCTGTTCAACATCGTCATTCCCCCCCCCCCCCCCCACCACCAAAAAATTTTGGAGTCCGGGGGACTGTGGGCGTGCACTTTTTTGTGCTTTTTTTTACTCTCTCGTACTTGCCCACAGTCCCCCGTTTTGAAAAAAAAAAAAAAGGGGCCCAAACCCCCTAACAAGCGGAGTCAGGGTTTAGGGTTTAGGGAGATCAGGGCCACTGTCAACCTGTACCACTCAACAGATATGGCTGCACAGCTTGATCGAAGGACACCTCATATGCCACACGGACACTCACCAATAACTGGAAGGAACCTCCTAAACCCTAAACCCTAAACCCTCATATGGACCTTACTTCGAACATCACCCCCAGCCACGTTCCTGATTCCTTGTGCTGATGTGCACCGCCCACGGGCCATTCCTTAGGGGCATCATATCAAGCCTTTCTGAGGGCTCAGAATCCAGGGCTTAGGGTTTTTTGGTTTAGGGTTTAGGGTTTAGGGCTTAGGGTTTTTTTTCGTTTAGGGTGTAGGGATAGGCCCTTGGGATGTTTTTGTGTCCCTTCTTGGGTCTAAGAGGATCATGTTTATTAGGCCATCCCGAACATGCTACTCAACCCCCTGATTCTGAGATTTTGGCAGGTATGGCACTTGAAGGCTACGTTCGCCTTGAGGGGTTTCGGGTTTAGGGATAGAAGGGTTTAGGGTTGTAGCATCTTGGTTGGTGCAGTTGCAATACCAATACCACTCATGAAAAGTTCGAAGGACATGCCTGCTCCGCGTTGACCTGCCTTATGTCTAGCCCTATGCCTGAAGGTTCAGGGTTTAGGGTTTATGGTTGAGGGTTTACGGCTTAGGGTTTCTAAGCAGCATGCCAAGTCACCTGGTTTAGGGTTGAGGGTCATATACTAGACCCAAGACTAACCGAGGAATAAAAGGGAGCCCTTTCTGGTTTAAAGGGGTTTCTAAGGGAGCCTAAACCCTAAACCCTAAACCCGAAACCCTAAACCCTAAGCCCTAAGTTTCAAGCCCTAAGCCCTAAGCGCTCAACAAAAGGGAATAAGGAATAAGGGCTGCTATAGAACAACCCTCAAGCTCAAGTTCACAAAGCCTTCGACTCTCAGGCGCGATTTTTGTGGTTGCCTTCAGGCTCTACAGGGTTTAGGGTTCAGGGTTGAGGGTTTAGGGTTTCTCTCAGGCAGCTGTTAAATGCGTGCCAGCTACCTCAAAGCGAAACACATGCACGCATGTGTGGCATGGTGGCTTTGCTCGCAAACGTCTCACAATCAGAACAACCTGTCGCATACCTGGCAGACAAAAAGGGCCAAGCGCACGGCAGTAAACAAACAAAGCTGGGCTCAAACACTGTGCTTGCACTGAAACCTAACCCTAAACCCTACAAACCCTAAACCCTTTCTCTCGAGGCTCAAGCTCCGCCACGCTGTGGGTCGCTTCAGATGTGGCCTGCTGCAACCGCCAAGAAAAACCAGAAGCTTCGCGCCCCTTGCTGCCCCCACGCTTCTAGAAAGACCCTTTGTTTACCGATAACGCACCCTAAACCCTTTGAATCCAGGCTCGGACAAGCTTGCACCCTAAACCCTAAACCCTAAACCCTAAGCCCTAAACCCTAAACCCTAAACCCTAAACCCAGGTGATTAGGTTGGCCGTCTGATCCTGTACAAGCTTACTTGCATGTCGAACTGTCGAAGAGATGTTCTGGACCCAAGAGAAACCTAGGAATGCAAAGGATGGCTTTTGTGGTTTAAAAGGGGTTTATCAGGGAACAAAGCCCCAAACGAAGGGAATGAGGGCCTACTCTGGGTCCTATTCTCTCCCCGAAGCCTTGCACCCCAAACCCAAGGCAAAACAGACCTAAACCCCAAACCCCAAACCCCAAACCCCAAACCCTAAACCCTGAACCCTAGACTCCTTTGAAGCCGGCCCTCATCCGAAGCCTAAACCCTAAACCCTAAACCTTTCCATCAACCCCCCCGCCTTGGAAAGGATGTCCATGGCGCCTCACGCCGGGTTTAGGGCTTCGGGAAAAACACGAGACCCAAGAGTAGGGTTTAGGGTTTGGGGTTTGGGGTTAAGGGTTTAGGCTATGAGGCTTCGGGTTTAGGGTAACCTAGGAATTAAAAGGGCGCCCTTTTGTTTACAAGGGGCTGAAAAAGGAACCTAAGCCCTAAAAGGAGGGGAATTAGGGCTTACTCTTGGTCCCAGGCATTTCGCCCCAAATAGAAATTAGTCTTGCACAACTTGCTCTGCTCGGAAAGCCTCCCTATGGTGCGTGGCAAGTCCGTTCCTAGATTCCGCTATTTTGACTTTGGGTTTGGGGCGGGCTTAGGTTAGTTCAACTTTATATGCTGGCACCTAGTTGTGACCAGCGGGTGAAGATAGCCAAGAGCTCTGCTGCCTGGCCTCGCTGCCAGCATTTGCCGTTGTCAGAGGCGATGGCACGGGCTGCTGCCTGCGAGAATTTGCAGAGCTCTGGAGGCGGTTGGATTTAACTGCCGGGAAAAAAGAGCCTTGGGGAAGATTACAGCATATTACAGCAAAGGTTGGATTTAACTGCCGGGTACGTGAAAAGAGTCCTTTGGGTGGTAGCTGCACGAAAGAATCCTCAACCAAAGCCCTGAACCATACTTCGTTTCAGCACAAGTGGAAACAACCTACCGCGCAGGTGACTCTGAACATCGACAGCTTTACTCAGCGCGGGCTTTAGGGTACCTGCTGCTAGTTCATTGTTGGGGTAATATTAAAATTTTATTGTTTATTCCTTATTGGGTTTCAGTACCCTAAACCCTAAACCCTAAATGTTGCCCAACGATGACAAAGGCTGGGGGCTCCCAGTAAGTGCTGGCGATCTTCGGCCTCGGTGCTGGCGACACCCTCATTGCACCCACGTCAAAGGTCTGCACCACGCAGTCCTAGGAGAGGTAGGTTTAGGGTTTAGGGTTTAGGGTTTAGGGTTTAGGGTTTAGGGTTTAGGGTTTAGGGTTTAGGGTTTAGGGTTTAGGGTTTAGGGTTTAGGGTTTAGGGTTTAGGGTTTGGGGTTTAGGGGTTTGAGGGTTTGAGGGTTTGAGGGTTTGAGGGTTTGAGGGTTTGAGGGTTTGAGGGTACCGCGTCCTACTTGGAAACGAAGCGAGCCTAGTAGCCCAGTCACCATATCACAACAAAGGTACCCTTTTTGGGGTTGGTTACTTTAGACGGGAACCCAAAACCACAAGAGGGCAAAAGGTATCACTGGGCTAACAAGCAACTTCTACACGGCATGCTTTCCCAAACGCATCTCCGCTATGCCTCGAAACGCACCTCCCGCACTTCCGTCCTGAGCATGACAGGCACCAAATGCAGTGAGGAGTCGAGGCCTGCGGCCAACAATGCTGCCGCAGGTGAGGCGACCGACAGGAGTGCCTGGGTTTGTCACTGGTGCAACAAGCCTGACGTGGAGGATGTCCCGAAACCCTATCTGCAACCAGGTCTCTTGCAGCCAGCCGGGCAAGTTGACACTTGACGTCTTAGGAAACTTGACGTCTTAGCAAACAACCCTGAATGGTAGGACTCAAGCCAAAAGAGGCCAAAGCTCAAAATTGCTCCATACGTGGAGCGGATCTCTGCCTACTCGGTGGACTTCCCTCAAGCTAACCCTAAACCCTAAACCCCTAAACCCTCATGAGGAACGCATATGGGCGTTTCCGAAAATGGGGGGTACCCTTTTTGGGGGGTCCCTTTTAAGGGGAGTTTATTCTATTTGGGGTATAAAAGGGGTACCCCTATTCTGGGAAATACCCATATGAAAGGAAGTCAGAATAAGTAGCCTGAAAATGTCGGTTTTTGAAGGGCCACGGGTATGTTATGGACTGAATTCTGACCGAGGCGGCAAATCTCAGGCTAGCACGGCCTGTCCTCAAACTTTCTGGTCCAGTTTTGGGATACGCTAAGGATTTCCTAAGCCCTAACTCTAGCGGCAAAGACAGGGCACTGCATCGAAATCTTCGGCAAGGCTGCGGAGGTTCTGGAGGAGGCCTCGGCCAATGCGCTTTTGGGGCTTTCCTTCACAAAAAGGAACCAGGGGCGGTGTAAGGGAATGGGAGGGGGGGGTCCTAAATCCTAAACGTAAAGCCCTAAACACTTTTTTGGGAACCCAGGCTCAGACACCCCAAACCCGAAACCCTGAGGGCTCATTCGGGCTGGGCTTATACAGACCTTTCACCCCCCCCTCCCCTACGCCCTGATGCTTCTCATTTTCGGCGAACTTTGGAGGTTTCCCACAGCGACCACCAATTCTCATGCAGGCATGCAGTGCTTCAAGCTTCAAGGTTGTCTTCAGTAGGGTTTAAAAGTTTAGGTTCGTAGGGTTGAGGGTTTAGGTTCAGTTCAGAGTCGCGAAGAGTTCCCACGAGGATTTCGGGCCACGAGGCCTTGTCAGATAAAAACAGATTCCCGATGCGATAGAGAAGACTTTGAGCCCTTTCATTTAAAAAAGAAGGGCCCCTCCGACCCATTTAGCCCTGTCTGCGAACCTTTCACCCTAAAACTTCAAGCCGCAGCAAGCCCCAATAAAGCCCCAGCCCCAACCCTTCTTCCCCCTCCTATAACCCTTATTCCTAAACCCCAAAAATCTTCAGCTCTCGTAAGCCCTAAACCCTAAACCCTAAACCCCAAACCCCAAACTCTGAGCAGTCCGCCTGGGAGGTCATCCAACTCCGCATCGCGGACAAAGTAGACCGCCTCGATGCCAGGAGAGGCCCCTGGGCCTTCTTTAAACACCCCGAGGGTTTAGGGTTTAGGGTTTAGGGATACAGACACTCACGGACCGATGTGGGGGTACTTACTCTACCACTCTACCCCTCCGAAACCAATCCTATGAAGACTATGGAAAGGGCCTGTGCCGAATGTAAAAACCCTGCAAAGGGCCCAATTTGGGGAACGTTGGCAAACATAAACCCTTTTTCCGGGAGACTTCGCCTGCTTCCCTAACCCCTAAACCCTGAACCCAAGTTTTTTTTGCAACTCTCATGCCCTAGGCTGAGCGCATAGATCCGGGTTACCACACTGAAGCCGGACAAGGCGTTGAAGGAAGAGTTGGATTCAAACGACCGAAGTACCGGGACCGTAAGGGAGGGAGGTTCATGCCTCGGGGAAGCTTAGGGAGCCTTAGGGCGTGTTTGGGAGGCTTAGGTCCCCATTATGTGAGGTTTGGAGTTTTTTTGTAGGCTTGCCAAGAGTCTGGGCTGCTTCTTATTGCAAAACCCGCTTTTTCAATCCTTTTACCCCCAAAATCCCCAAACCCCCCAAACCCCTAAACCCTAGCGGGGGCGCCCGTCAAGTCTTAAACATGATCCTCTGCAACCCAATAAGGGCAAACACGATATTTTCCCAGGGCCTACCTAGTAAACCCTATAAAGTTCAACCCTAAACCCTAAACCCTAAACCCTAAACCCTAAACCCTAAACCGCCTAGAGACCCCAAGAAGCCCATGCTTGGTCCAAGTCTAGCGCAGCGCCGGCCGCGAGTCGCAGGATTGGCTGCAGCGACTCCACCTTTCTCTACAGTACGAGAGGAGAGGGGGGGGGGGGGGAGAGGGTTTAGGGTTTTAGGGTTTTAGGGTTTCAGGGTTTCAGGGATCGGGTGGAAGGATGTAAGACTATGTAAAAAAGACCAAAGCCTCGAGAAGTTAACTTTGGAAGTGAACTGGTCTAGGGCTGGCGGTTAGGGTCTTCCTTCTCCACCTGCCCAGCTGAACTTGCGTTTGGGGTTTGGGTCTGGGAGTTTAGGGGTCTTTTGGGTCAAGCACAGAGGACGGGACCTTTAAGGGTAAACCTGTGAACTACGCATTCCAGATCAAGGATGCGCTGCGAAGCACGTGCCAGCAGCAACGAACCGTGCCCTACACAGCCTAGCTATGAACGACCGCCACAAACCCTAAACCCTAAACTTTAAACCCTAAACCCTAAACCAAACACTCTTCACAACCAGAGGGGCTTGAAAAGCGTTGCCCAGCACCACGAGGACCTCGCCAGCAAAGGACAAGCCCAAGGCATGAAGTCAAGCGCAGCTCGCTGAATTATGGCCATCCTAAACCAAAACCCAAAACCCGAAATCCGAAACCCCAACATGATTTTCAGGGCCACTCTGATTACAGTAGGTATCCCAAGTTGCCAAGCGGGCCCTATAGAAGTGTCCGTTTGAACCCTAAACCGTGCACCCTTAACTGCTTCATGACACCATCAGGCGATTGGATCCCCAGACCCTAAACCCTAAACCCTAGGCCCCCAAGATCCCCCAAGCCTTAAACTCCTAAAAGCCCTTTCTTGGAAGCCAGACTGAGGGCGTCGCCGCTAAACGCCCTAAACCCTAAACCCTAAACCCTAAACCCTAAACCCTAAACCCTAAACCCTAAACCCTAAACCCTAAACCCTAAACCCTAAACCCTAAACCCTAAACCCTAGCCCTAAACCCTAAACCCGAAACTCCGAAAAAGGCCGGCCTTCCGGCCCTCCAGAACTTGCGTCCAGAGCTCTTGGAGCTCAAACTTCGACACCTTCGGGCGGTCTGCGGGTTTAGGGTTTAGGGTTTAGGGTTTAGGGTTTAGGGTTTAGGGTTTAGGGTTTAGGGTTTAGGGTTTAGGGTTTAGGGTTTAGGTGGGGATGTTCCCCCTTATACGAACAGCCCCTAATCGGAATTATAATAAGGGGGGTACTACAATCCCTATTGAGGACTGTTAGTAGAAGGGGGGAACATCCCAAGGTTTACAGTTTAGGGTTTAGAGGTTCGGATAGCGTCTCGCAGAAGCAGCCTGGGGTTTAGGGAGCTTAGGGCTTACAGGGGTTTAGGTAGGTTGCCCCACCTGGGAATGAGAAGGGTGCGCAGCTCTCTGGTTTAATGGGTTTTTTCTAAGGGATTCGAATGCCAAAAAGTGGAATAAGGGTACCTATATATGCATATGTATGTATATATATATATGTATATGTATATATACATATATGGGAGTCCTAGAAGCAAACATGGAATTTGGGAGCGTGCTTGGGGTTATAGAACGTCGTGTTCGGGGTTGTTCGCGTTCGGGGCTGGACGACACAGGTCAGACCTGGGGTTTGAAACCAGGCCTGACGTGCGGCCTCACGCGTGCATGGAGAGCCATCAGCTGCACCGTTCTGAAAACTCAAGCAAAACATAACAAACCCTAATACCGAAAGCCGAAAACATCTTGCCACCGTGACCCAGAAGGCTTTGAAGTGATTCACTTTCTGCCCTGACAGCTGCCACGCCCTTTCACCCCCTGTTGGGGGATGTAGATTCGCAACGAACTGCCATCCATGTTCATGAAGCCGTGGCCAGGGGATGAGGAAGCAAGGCCAGGTACCAGATTTCCCTCCACATTCCTCGGAAGAAGCACATGGGGACCCCGAATCCTTGCTTCCCTCCTGAAAAGAAGCACTGTTCCGGGCCTTCTTGGAGCTCCAAGCGTGCGAGTCGACGATCTGCCTGGTTTCCCACCGCCCGCAGAAGCTCGCCACATTATTTTATACAGCAAATAACATGAGCGCCACAAGCTTGAATGTGACCTCTTTCTGTGTGTCACCAAACAGTAAGCCCCAAAGCCCCCAGCTGTAAACCCCAAGACCCTTAAGATTCTACAGTTTTTAGGGTTCCTCTCTGCAGTGCTGGCGGCCGGTTGCAAAGCACGCCGCCTGGCGGAGTGAGCGCCACAAGCTCTGGAACCAGGGACTCGCGATCCTTCCTCGGGTCGGGAACCCTGCTTGCAACCCTTGACCCTGAACCCTAAACCCTGAACCCTAAACCCTAAAGCCTGAACCCTAAACCCTAAACCCTAAACCCCGAACCCTAAACCCTAAACCCTGAACCCTAAACCCTAAACCCTAAACCCTGAACCCTGAACCCTGAACCCTAAGCCTGCCTGCCTCCGTCCTTTCTGCTTCATGAGCAGCCCTCTGTCCCCTAAACCCGGAAACTCCTAAAGCACTGAAACCCCTAAACCCTGCAATCCTAGATCCTGAAATCCTCCACCCTACTCACTAACCGATGTAGGGACTTTTGGGCTTTATGAGTTTGTATAGTTTGTTTTTGGGTTTAGGGTTTAGGGCTTAGGGTTTAGAGCTTAGGGTTTAGGGTTTAGGGTTTTTATGAGTTTGTATACTTCGTTTGTTTTTTCTTTTATTTAAGGGGGTTTAGGGAACTTGTGTGGTGGCTGAGCCTTTTGCATCCTCAGAGCCTGACAGGGCTTAGGGCTTAGGGTTCATTGGGCTTAGGTTTTGGGGGGGTCAACCCGAAACCACTATAAACCCTAAACCCTAAACCCCTCAACCCTAAACCTTGAACCATGAACCCTTTTGCATCCAGGTCTGTGAGACTGCCGGGCACTGCGAAGTCATTTGACTGAAGTAGGTCCCTCAAGATTTTCATGCACCCTGAACCCTAAACCCCTATAAACCCTAAAATGACTTCGACGGAAGTAGGTCCCTCAAGATATTCATGAACCCTGAACCCTAAACCCCTACACCCGAACCCCCTAAACCCCAAACCCTAAACCCTGAACCCTAAACCCTAAACCCCAAACCCTAAACCCTAAACCCTAAACTTCAAGCAACCGCCCTTCCGACCAGCGAAGGGCACCGCACTTTCGAAGCGAGCCTAGATGGTGGAAGATCCTTGAACCGGAAGGTTCCAGGGCACTCTAGGGTTTAGGGTTTAGGGTTTAGGAAAATTCTGGTAAAACCCAGACTCCGCAGCTTCGGCAGCAGGTCCGATTCTGACTCGGGAGGAAGCCAGGATTCCCAGTTGCGCGACAGGACGTCCTTAAAACGTCGGCGCTTTGGCTTGAGGGTTAGTGTTGCACCCTCTTTTGTGTGTTCCTTTCGGCTCCCCGCCCCCCCCCCCCCCCCCCCCCCCCCCGCCCCCCTCCTGATTTTGGCAGTCCTTAAACGGTCTCGGGGTGTTGTTTTTTCTTCAACGGGACGTGAATCTAGAGGTGACAGCGAAGGTGGTCACCCTTGGCAGACTGAATGGCGGACGCCACCCTCAGAAGCCAAGCTTGACTTAATTCAGTGGGGTTTGGGGTTTAGGGTTTAGGCAGCTAGACAAGGTCCAACATTGTGGTGCATCTTAGGGTAGTTGCATGGTGCTGCATCTTCTATTCTTAGGGCAGCTACATGGTCCCAGCATGGGGCCTGAAATGGGGAGCCCTTCTATACCCCTTATGCACCCTCTACAACCCTAGGGCTCCTACTTCAGAACCCTTTGAACTTACGGTTAGAGGCAGACCTGGTCCTTACCTGCTGCGGTTGAAGCTTATAGGCTAGGTTGCCAAGTAACCTAATTAGGATTAAAAAGGGTGTTTTTGCTTAAAGGGGTTTATAAGGGAACCTAAACCCCCCCAAAAAAAGGAATCAGGGCACTACTGGGCATCCTAGTAGGGTACACAGGGATGAATGAGTGCAGGGAGAATTGCCTTTCGCCCTTGGGAAATGCAGAATCTTGGACTCTCGAGCTGAGGCGCATCCACAGCCAAGCACGCGCTGCCTCGAGACAACAGGGTTTAGGGTGTTCGGGTTGGGGGCTTAGGGTTTCCCAAAGTTTCTTGTTTAGGTTGCACTTCAAGCTTTACTTGCTACCGCTCTACAGTCTCTACAATCCTGAGCCCTAAGCCCCCAACTCTGAAGCCCTAAACCCTAAGCCTTGAGCCCAAGCCCTAAACACCAAAAAATATGAAACCCAAAACCATTTTTTCAGGCAGAGCCCCAACCTACTTGTTGTGGTAGGTTCTTGTTGCAAGAAAAGCCACATAGGAGTCATAGGTACGCTACAGAAGCGCAAAGAGCACACAGTGCCTGTTAGGACTTGACATGTGCTCACTTGGCTGGCTTGGCAAGGGATGACAAGAACAACCCTAAACCCTTTGAACCCCTGGGCTGAGGCCGGGACGCGCGTAACAACCCTAAACCCTAAACCCTAAACCCTATAAGCCCTAAGCCCTAAGCCCTAAACCTTAAGCCCCTTTTTGGCTTAAGCCCGACCCTGAAACTTGAAACCCTAGCACCTTTTCCCTGTAAGATATGACCCCTGGCTCGTCTGTAACCCCATCTGCAACACCCATGGCTGTAAACTTATAAGATGACCCTCTCAAGCGCAATGTTCACCCAACTCTGTGCGGGTGAGCTGCATGAAAACAGAAAAAACATGAAGAAGCTGCCGTGAAGCCATCCCGTTTAGGGCGGCTTAGGTTCTTATTTAGGACTCAGGTTTGCACAAAGTTGCAGGTCACTTCCATGGAATCCGAAACCCTAAGACCTAAACCCTAACGGTTTAGGGTTTAGGGTTTAGGATTAAGGGTTTAGGGTTTAGTCAAGGTGCTCTGTGCAAGCACCTCGCGGAACGAGCCGCCGCCCCCTGGCTTGGCGCAGTTGGAGGGGGTTCAAGGGGCTATAAATAGGACAAGGTATGAAGGGTCCCTGTCGAGGGCCCATACAGACAGAAGCATGTTTAGGGGTCTGATTAGAGAACCTTGTGGGTCTGGGGCCGTTCGGGTTGCTTAAACGACTCGTTTGCTGCGTAGAAACCCTCTTAAGCACTTGGTCACTATTTAGGGCTCGTAGGGTTTAGGGCACACCATCGCCTGTTCTAGTAGCACTGGTTCGGAATTTGGCTACCCGGCCTTCGGAGCTTCCATGGAACTAGGTGAGACCTGCCCTGTACAAAACCTAAAGTGCGGCCGCTGGACTGCGAAGTGTTTGTGGCTTTGGGGGGTGGAAGTTCGGACTCTTTGAGACGACACTGACGCCCCCCCCCCCCCCGCCCTACTTGAACTCCAGCGTGGCCGGAGGAACCAGCAAGCCTAAGCCCTAAACTTAGGGTTTAGGGTTTAGGGTTTAGGGTTTAGGGTTTAGGGTTTAGGGTTCTACTACCAGTCCTTGATAGGGACTATAGTATCCCCTATTAGAATCCCGATGAAGGTACTGTTAGTATAAGGGGTCGCAATTCCCAACCCCAAACGCCCAACGCAGCCTCATGTTGGACCTGCTGTAGTTAGTGCGTCAACCCCGCCCTGAACAGGGGAAGCTGATCTCGCCTCTCTTAAAACGGTCCAAGGGCTGTGTCCGACTTTTATTAGGGTGAGGTTTCATAAATTTGAACGGGGCAGCGAGGCCGCGCCGCGCGACATGTTCTTACGACACCCGGAAGACGATTCCTGTCATCTCTCGTGCAGAGAACTAACCATCTCTACTCATGACAGCCCATGGCTTCGGAGATGCCTCGGCTCCATTGCAAGTCTGGGAGCCCGAGCCTGCCAAAGTCGGCAGAGTGACTGGATCAGGGTTTAGGCTTTAGGGTTTAGGGTTTAGGGCTTAGGGGAATTCAGGTTTTGGGGATTGATGGGTTTGGGGTTTCCGCAAATTAAGGCTTGGGCCTTGTGGGTTTTTTTGCTAGGCTTTAGGATTTAGGATATAGAAGTTTGCTGATGTTCAAAGAGGCTTCTGCGGTTTGCTGCCTTTAGTCTACGGTTCATGGGCTTAGGCCCAGAGAAAGCTCAGCGAGTTTTGTCTCGCCCCCCCCCCCCCCCCCGCCCCCCCGGTTTGCCCAAGCTGAGTTGGCCATGTCGCCGTGCAGGGCATATACCATCCTAAACCCTTTTGAGCAACGGACTTTGACCCTAAACCCTATTCCCGTTGCCATGTCCTCGCGGCTTACAACTGAAACCTAACGCCTCGCTATTTCAAGTTTGCAAAGATTGACTCATTGAAGGATGTTATGTCCATGGGGGAGGGGGATTTGTAGGAGTAGGGGCCGCGCTATTCAGCTGACGGGAGAAATCGCATCACTCTAAAACCCTAAACCTAAACCCTGAACCCTGTTCCGGCCTGATGAAGCTCGCGCCGGCAGTGAGAAACCGAAAAGTGTGCCTGCCGGGTCGAGGGCGCGCTACCTGACCTTGCTTAATGTCTTGGAGAACGAATAAAAAAGACCAAGTTGGCGGCAGCCGAACATCTTGGTAGTAAACCGATCATAATGAGGGGTGCCCGTTCTGGGATACCTAGAGCCAAAAAAGGGCAAACGGGTTGCTACTAGGTTTGGGGCTTAGGGCTTAGGGCTTAGGGCTTCGGGTTTAGGGTTATAGGCCTCAGGTCCAGCACACGCCACCCGAGGGGCGGCAACCCACGCTCTCCTGGACGGCTTGGGAGCTTCCAGCCCTTGGAAAGGAGGGGGGGGAGAGGCCAGGGTTTAGGGTTTAGGGCTTAGGGTTTAGGGCTTTTTTGCCACCCGTCTGCGTAGTCACTCGCTACGGGGTCAGAGCGCAGGGATAAGTCGTTGAAACAAACATGGCCGGGTTGAAATCTGCAAGCGACCGGCTTCCCTTGTTTGCCAAGAACGAAGTCGAAACATGTCGAAACAACCCGCAGAAGCTCCAACCCGTCATACAGTGAAGTGTTCAGGAAGTCTTCGCCCCTCCACCTGCCGCTCCCGCAGACACGACACTGACTTGACATCGCCCTAACTCCTGAACCCTAAAACCTTAAACCTAAACCCTGCCGCAGCGTTCCTGTAAAGACGGTTGAGCTTTCAGGCGTCAGCGTCTTTGATCCCTTCTGTTTTGGAAGCTAAGGCTTCTGCCCAAGGTTTTGGTGTCACGTATCGGCCACGCCGTTCCCCCAAGTGTTCGAGGGCAACAAGCACTAAAAGCGACGCTCATTCGCTCGCCTGCTTGTTCCCTGAGTCCTTCACTCTAAGACTCTAAGCGTTAAACCTCCAAATTGAAAACCCTGAAATCCACCCCAACACCTCAACAATTCGCTTGCATTTTTTCGGCTCAGATCGATCGACGTTTAGACTCGGGGGCAGAAAGCTTTTCCCACAACCCGCTCCCGGTCTCTGAGATGGCACTGCCGGCAGTCGTCGTGGTGTGGCCTCAGTCCCAAAGCCGGAAGCGTGCTTAAGGGGCTTCAGGGTAAGGACTTGGGATCAATCCCGGGGTCCTACTTTACTACTGTTTGCTTAAGAACCCCCAAAACATTAGAACAAAATGCCCTCTATTGCCCTAGGCCTTGTAAGGAAAAACAACAAAAATGGTGTTGTTTGTTTGTTTTTATTTTATTTTTTTAGGGGGGGGGGGGGGGGGGGGCGTGGAGGGCTTCTTAAGCAAGCAGTAGCTTCATGTACCCCCCTCCCCTGCATCCAGCCCTGAAGACCCCGCACCGACGACCCAAGGGCGCGGCTGTCGTGCATAGCCAGTTCGCTGGAGCGGCCATGGGCTTAGGTTTTAGGGTTTAGGGTGGTTTAGGTTTTAGGGTTTAGGGTGGTTTAGGGTTTAGGGTTTAGGGTTTAGGGTTTAGGGTTTAGGGTTTAGGGTTTAGGGTTTAGGGTTTAGGGTGCAGGGTTTAGGGTTCCGGCTTTAAGGTTTAGGGTTGAGGGTTTTGCGCGACCTGAGAGTTTCGAGTCCCTTCGCAGCATCACTTGGCAAGCATTGCAGGTGACTCTCCTGAGTCTGCCATGATGGTCTCTACAGGGAGATACCAGCAAAACGGCACAAGCCTGGTTCAGAACGCTGTCTTTGGGCTCAACCTGGCCTTCGACCCTGACAAGGGCATCACGGAATCCGAAAGTTCGAGTCCCTTATACTCCCTTGTGGGCGGGGGAAGGGTAGCCCTAAACCCTAAACCCAAGCCCCATCATAAGCTAGACAACTGGTGCCAGGCTCAAGTTCATCTGACTCAGCAACTCCATTTGAGCCCAGAACACGCAGAACGACACGCGCACCATCATGGCCATGCTGACAAAACAGCTTCAGGGATCTCAGGTCCAGCTGGGGCTGTCCATAAACCCTAAACCCTAAACCCTAAACCCTAAACCCTAAACCCTAAACCCTAAACGGAGCCCCGAACTTTCAGCAAGCCCCGCAAGTCAGCTCAACCAGGGCGGTCTCTGGTTGATACCTGGGGCGAGGGTTCCAGCCTTTCTTGGGGCACTCAGAACCCTGGTTTAGGGTTTAGGGTTTAGGGTTTAGGGTTTAGGGTTTAGGGTGTGAACCACCCCATTTCCTTTCAGAGTATTAGGGTGGGGGGAGTGAATGCTAGGCCGAGGGAACTCCTCGTGAACCTTGAAAGCAACTCTTTCAAAATTGTGCATCTCTGTAAGCCCTATCAAACTAAACCTTAAACCCACCGTCAGCGATGCTCTGAACAGGGCGTTAGAGTCAAGGTCTCCTTGAAGCTAGTGCATCTTGGGCAACACATCACCCTTTCTGAGGAGTGTTGAGGTCCAAATTCGGATGGAAAGCCTTTCCTCCCGACTTTTGCACCCTTCGCGCCCTCAAACCTGAAGCCCTGAAACCCGCGAAAGCTTTTCCTGCCTGCTGGGCTCACTCCGCACCTGCGCCTTCACGCACCTCGGTCTGCCTGTTTGGGTAGGTTTAGAGTTTGGGGTTTAGGGTTGAGGGTTTAGGGCTACCCTGCCGCAGACTTGTTGAGGGGTTTCGGGGTGCTTTGCGAGTCTGTCTTCCGGGTGCAAATTTTACCTGCACCTGGTTGTACCTTTGGTGTAGTGATTGCTGCTTAACTCGTGGGTCTGTCGCCTAACCCTGTAGGTAAATGGAGTATTCAGGGTTCGCATTGGGCTTTCAGGGTTGGCATCTTCAGGGTCGTTCATAGAGAGAGGGAGAGAAAACAACACACAAAAGACATAGAGAAAGAGAGCGCGAGAGAGAGAGAGAGCGAGAGAGAGAGAGAGAGAAACCAAAGAGAGACAGAGAGAGTGTGAGAGAAGCAGAGAGAGGGGGCGAGAGAAGGAGAGGGAAAGAGGGAGAGAGGGAGAGAGGGAGGGAGAGGAAGACAGGGAGAGAGAGAGAGAGAGAGAGAGAGAGAGAGAGCGAGAGGGAGAGCGAACGCGGGATATACGAACTGTGATGTGTTTTTTTGTTTCTCATGCGGTCCTGGGGTATTGGGCCACCCACACACGCACACTCTGCACGCAGAGGAGATCCCGAAATGACGCCCAAAAGCCCCATCAATGTAAGAGGAGCGAACCATCTCGCTACTTATGTTTTTTGAAGAGCAGTCAGACCTTTTCTGAATGCTTCGGTAGGTGCCTCCTTTGAGACTGCAAGAAGGTTGAATTCTGGCGAGCGTGATCCCCCAGAAGTGAGTTGACATCTCCGCTTACTCAGCACCCGGCAGCGATCCGATCTCCAGGTTGCTTTTAAAGACTTTCGCATTGCTGGGGTTCACACTAACCAGCACACCAACACTAAGGAAAACTAATGCAGAGAAGTGCTACTTGGCACAATGCGGCTCTCGCGCACATGTTGTTGGCACTGCCTTCGGCAATGTTGCCGGAGTTGCCGGCGGCTGGCCGCAGTCGAAGCTTCAACACCTCCGTGTAAACAGCTAGCACCGCGGTGCGCAGCAGCCTGCCAGTCGCACTTCTACCGAACGACCTGCTTTGAAGAGAACCAACACAACCGCATCAGCATCGCTATTACTTCATAATCACCCGCAAGCACCGGATTCTTTGATGCAAACTGAACCGCACGCCATGGCAAAGCAGGTCGCCGAAAATCTGTGAATTCGTCCCGCTTCGCTCGCCAGCATGGTGCCTCCCGAAAGCACCTCTTAAAGTCTTAAAGCCTGGTAGCCGTTGTCATGACACTGTCAAATGGCAGGCGGCAGGGCGCGCCTGGGCCACTCCGCTTGGCTTCTGTGCCAGCTGTGATGGCCACCTCAATGGCGGCCAGCTGTTCCGGAGTCTGCAATGCAAGCAAGTCACCGATTTGCCCGTGGCCATCCCGAAACGTGCGAAAGGTCTCCCGTGCATCATGCACCTCCCAGCACATGGGGACTTCTTGGCACTGGACCTTGCCAAACCCAAAACGCTTGAGCGTTTCCATGGCGGCTTTTGCTTGCGCAAAGCGGAAGAAAGGCGGGGCTGGAGGCACAGGCACCTGCGTGTTGCCGTGCGCCCCAACTGCATCATGAACCAACTGAAGCGCCTCTGTGAGAAAGGAGTAGCCCCAGACCGTGAAGCCCAAGCGCCCGCCGGGGCGCAGGACTCGGAAGGCTTCTGCAAAAAAAGCCTCTGGCTCTGGAAGGTGGAGAACACCAAAGCTGCAGACAACAGCATCGACCGACTGGTCCTCTAAAGGCATCCTCGCAGCATCGGCTTCGATGAACTGCACCTTGTCCGAGGCCATCTCGGCAGAAAGTCGTGCTTGGGCCAGGTCCAACATGTTTCTCGAAAAGTCCAGGGCAGTTACAGCAGCGCCAGCCTTGGCCGCAGCCTCCGCGACGAAGCCGGGGCCTGTGGCAACGTCCACTAAGCTGCACCCTTGCTGACACTTCACTGCATCCAGGAGGGCGGGGACACATTGCCGTGTCAAGCATCCCCAGCCAGTCTCGTAAGTGTGGACAGCCTTCTGCCAGTGCCGGTGCTCTCGCACAGCGAATTCAGACGTCGAGAAAGCCCTGCGAGAGCAACGAGCCAGAGAACGCATCATGGCTGGGCGAGCAAAGTCTTAGTGCCGTGCTTTGCGACTTCTGCGCTGGGGTCGGCAGCTACGCAGCCAAAGAAATCGCCAGATTCACCAGCAAACCAAACACATGCAGCAGAATATTTCCAACTTGATCAACACGAAGTCAACACATCCACCAGCCGGAGGCTATTAAGCGCATGTACTATAGCCAAGTGTATGTATGATCCGAAAAAAGTTCATGACCTCCTGACTGATCAAAGAGAGAGCCTAGCTAACGAGCTCGGCCACCTGAAAGTCAGACCGGAAGGCTACAACGAGGGTGTAAGTGTCAGACCCTAAAGCCCAAACCCTAGACCCCCTTCTCGGGCATGCTTGCCTGCAAGTCTCGCACAACGAAACCCAGATCGACCCGAAACCCATGATGGGCTGGAGGTGTGCTGGTTTTTGGAGCCCGTAGATACCCTGTAGATCCTAAAGGGACATACTTTCAGAACCCTCCAAGAAGTTAGTAGGATTTAGGGGGCTTATGAGTAGGTGTCAGGGTTTGGTAAGGGGCCAAAATTGGGGAGCATGTACCCTAAACCCTAAACCCATCGATTTTTCACCGACGGCTTCTGGGCCCTGTCCTCCCCCCCCCCGGCCAACCAGACAAGGAAACAACTGAACTAACCTGACAAGCTACAAACCCCAAACCCTGTAATCAAACCCTATAATATATGTCCCCCCAAAAAGGCCCCAAACCCGATAATATATTGTCCAAAAAGGCCCAGAAAAGCCAAAAACATATGTATAAGGTCTAATACCCCAACAAAGGACCCAGAGAAAGACAAAACGGCCCGGCGCCTCTCATAGGCTGCAGCAAGTCGGAGGTGAACGATGCAATAAGCCGCCTTGCAAACCCTCAGCCCCTGGACGCTATGGCCAACACCCCTTGTTTAGGGTGTATAGGGTTTCGGGTTACCACACCCCGAAAAAACTCAGAACTACCTCCCACTTGTCTGGCCGCGTGTCCTTGGGAGAAAGTTAACCTTGGTGATCATCGGAAGCATGCTAAACCTAAAACCTAAACCCTTTTTTTAAGACTGGAACTGAGGCCAGGCAGCATCCATCCATCCAGGTTGCCAGATCAAAACCCTAAACCCTAACTCCTCTACCCTAAACCCTAAACCCAAGCTAAGACAGTTTTGGGCATTCTTCTTGTCAACAGACCCTAAGGGACCATGCGCCAGAATGGAGTATAATTGGCCATGAATCTTCAGGGTGTACAGGCCTTAGGCTATTATAAACTGTACTACGACTTTGAAGAAAAAAAGAATATACTTCTCAGAGTACATGTAGCGTTCTCGGGTTCGCCTAAGATTGCCAGCTATGGTCTTTGGCTCTTTTAAGGGTTTAGCGTTCAGGGTTTAGGGTTTAGGGGTTAGTCTGGGGCAAAAGAGTCAAGAAGCTGTTGACGCCACAGAGGGTTGGAGCTGAAGTTGCAGAACTGCGACACCTTGTTGCAGAAGCCCTGCCCTAAACCCTAAACCCTAAACCCTAAACCCCCTAAACCCCCTAGACCCCCTAAACCCCTTGACCCCCTAGACCCCCTAAACCTTAAACCTTAAACCCTAAACCCTCGTTGTGAACAGCGGCCTTGCCTTTTCCTGGCAGCCGTAGAAGCCTTCAGCTTCGCGCTGGAAACCTGGGATGTTGTGTTCGAATGGCTCCGAGAACCTTTTTTTGCCACCCCCGAGAACCTTTTTAGGGTTTAGGGTTTAGGGTTTAGGTGAAGATCAAGCTGAGGCTTGCTGTTCATTGAGATTTTAATGGGGGGTTTACGAGACTAGGGGTACCTTATTGGGGTCCTTATTATCAAGGAGTCCTACTATGGGTCTATTGGGGGCCCCTTATTTTCGTAAACCCCCATGTGAAGGAAGTTAGCAAATGAGAAGCAATACTGCCACCACTTTGAACTGCGCCGCATGGAGAGAGCAGCTGTCCTTTTGCGCCGCGACCGCACCTACCCTTTTTGCACCGATCTACCCTTGAATGGGAGACACGTGCCTTTGTTCCATGATTTAAGGGCATAAAAACGACTTTAGGCAAACTCAACCCAGCAACGTTCAGCAAAAACAAGGGTCTTGCTCGGCTCCGCGCACGTGTGGCAAGTTCTCGTTTAGCATTTGGTTGCAGGCCCCTTCGGCATCAGCATCGCCAGCGAGGCTTAATTGAGCATGCTATCGTGCTCAGGCTAAACTAGAGATGCTCGTGACAACTTCTTACGAGGAGCTTTCGGGAAGCGTGCTGGCGTCCGCCACGTGGATCTCCCATCTTTGCCGCTGGCGGGCAGCGTCGACGAACGCCTGCTTAAGGAGTTCTGAACCCTGGAGAACCCCGCAGCAACCCTAAACCCTAAACCCTAAACCCCAATACCTGGACCTCCATAGTACCCATCATCATGGCCTGCATACCGTAAGCTTGTATGCTGGGGTGGAGGCGACAATGCGGCTACAACTACACTATTACACTCATGGTGCGAAACATGGTAATGACAGTGGTAGCAGTAGAGAACTAGGAATCGTAATGGTATTGTCATTGTAGTGGTAGGAGTAGCAGGGGCAGCAGCAGGAACAATCATGATAGCAGCGAAACTATAATAGAAGAAGCAGTCGGTCGTTGTATTCGTAGTAGCCGGCGCAGGCTGGCAGAAATGATCAGGTAGCAGTAGCCAGGCGTTCTTCGCGGCCCCCGAGCCGCTTTCGTGCATTTCAGGGCGGTTTCGGTTCCTACCCCCCTGCCCCCCCTTCCCCCCCTTGCCCTCCTTCTGCCTGCAAACGCGGCTAGCAAAGAACCATGGAACCGCCGGGGATAGGGGTGGGGGTCACCGGATCCCTACACTCCAAACGCACTCCAAACACAACCAGTTAAAAAGCAGTAAGTATAAGAATAGTAATTCAGAAAATCTCCACATGAGTTCTATTCATCACCGAGGAATACGCCCAGCCCCAAGCCCAGGGCACCGACCTCGAGTTGCCAGGCTGTGGGGGATTAAGATGGTTTTTGCGCAGCAAGCTTCTGGTTTAGGGTTTAGAGGGTTTAGGGTTTAGGGTCACTCACCGAAACCGGGGCGATTATAGTATAATTATCAAGGGACCCGAAGGGAATACTATTAGTAATTCTTCCGACCCCTAGATTGTGGCTTTTGTCGGGGTTGGGGGCCTCCACTTCGTCGCAGCAGCGATTCTTGACTGCCAGGGTCACCAGGAAAGGCTCCTCACGGCACTGGAGCTGCGCCTCCGCCGGGACAGGTTAAGGTTTAGGGTTTTAGGGTTTCGGGTTTAGGGTTTAGGGTTTCGGGTTTCGGGTTTACTGTAGGGTTTCGGGTTTCGGGTCAAATCCCTTCTGCATGTTGTGCTGAGCAAGGAATGCATGCAAACCTTCTCAAGCTTTACTGGAAAGGACACTGGGGTTGCCACCTCACCCTTTCTCCACCGCTCCCTAAAGCCTTGAACTCCAAACCCCTAAACCCTAAACCCTAACCCCTAAACCCTTCACCCTCAACCCTACACCCCCTCTCTCGCCCAGGCTCGGGGTTCGTCAGCTGCCGGTCCCAGAAAGTCCGTGCTCTGGAGCCATATCACACCGCTCAAGTTAAGCAGCGTTTAGCTACCTACTTCTCTGGTTTAGGGTTTCGGGATTGGGGTAACATAGAGTGTGTACCCACGGATCACAAAATGTAGTTTGTAGTTAGTTAATAAGCGCTGCTAGCACCCTTGTAAGCCCTAAGCCCTACACTGTTTCATGACAAGCTCGAAGCCGGACACTCTTACTTGACGGCTCATAGGTACTTATAGGGTCCTAAGTAGGGCAACTGAATCTCCACTTAGCCCTAAACCCTAAACCCTAAACCCTAAACCCTAAACCCTAAACCCTAAACCCTAAACCCTAAACCCTAAACCTGAACCCTATACCCTGAACAACCCGAAGACTTAAACCCTAAGCCCCCGAGCCCTACAACGCGTACGACTCCAGGCGTCAGGGCCTCGGCCAGTGCGGAGAGCGTGTCCAGCAGTGGGCCGGGTGGAGCCTTGTCGCCATACCTTCTCTTATAGGATTCGGTCGGCATTGTTGGGTGATAGGGAAGAAAGGACGAATAGTAAGTAACAGATCACGGTATAGTTGCATTACTTACAACACAGATCGTAGCTAAATTTCAGTAGCAAGAGCAAAAAAAGCCAGTCGCGCAACCCAACAGCCAGCAACAAGATGATGAAGGACCAATATGATCCCAGGTTGGCCAAATTTAAAGCCAAAAAAAAACAGGTTGGAAATATTACAGTTCCCAAGCCCTGAATGCTAAAGCTTTAGGGTTTAGGGTTTAGGGCTCCCAAAAATCGAAACCCCTACACCCGAAACCCTAAACGCCCGGTTCTGTTCCTGCTCTCTGATCTGGTTCCGCCCCCTTCTGGCTTCATTGCCCGGTGGGAATTATAATGCTACCAGATAAAAGCTTTGCGAATAGTAGTCACCATCGTTCTAGTATAGCGATAGTAATTTACCCTTTCCACATGTCATGCAAGCCCCAAACCCTAAACTCTAAACCCCAAGGGAATAAAACCCTGAAGCAGTCTCTGCTTCAGGGCAAGCTCGGACGACAAGAGCGTGGCACTTTAAGAAAGGTGTGCATTTGGGTCTCGTAGCCTTGAGCCGTAGCCATTTTGCCCTATAAACCCTAAACACTTTCCAAGAGACTTCGCCCTAAACCCTAAACCCTAAACGCCATAACCCTAAACCCTAAACCCTAAACCCTAAATCCTGAACCCCAAACCCGAAACCCAAAACCCAAAACCCACAAGGTTCAAGGCTTCAGGGCTAGGCCAAGATGCAGGAGGTCACTTCCCACCACGTGGCTAAAAGGACCTTGGCGTGAGGTTTTGGGTTTAGTATTTAGGGTTTAGGGTTTGGGGTTTGGGGTTTAGGGTTTAGGGTGCGTAGCTTGAGGGTACGTAGCTTGAGGGTTCGTGATGGTAGAAGCCGGTGGT